TTGTTAGGCCTGATAACATGCGTTTATTTGTGAGCTTATCTTCTTGACGGTTAAAAAGTACCTCATGGACAAAAACTAGTTTAGTTCGCTTTTTCTATATCAACCTAGAATGCTATTTGTGAATTGACCTTCAGCCACATGAAATGTTTGTGGGCTGTTAATAGAAACGATTTGAAGTGCAATCTTATTGGTGCATAATTAGGAACTAAATGAATAATCGTCTCAGTTGTACAAAGTTCTATAATTATCCTTGAAATAATTCAGACCTATTGAAACAAATTCAGTCGTCAGAAAAATATGGCCATGTTCATAAGTGCCGAAATGTTTTGGTTCTAGGGTAGGCTCAACAATTTTTTACAGGACTCGCCCCAAAAAATTAAAAAATATGGACTAAGCCAATTTTTTTGATGTCATCTTGATGAAACAAAGTTAGTGTTTCTCATTTCGAACTCGTATTTTGTAATGTATGACGCTGATAGAGATAAGAAAAGCATTTGCAACTTATGTGTCAAAAAACGTGCGTTTAAGAAAACATGTCGATGATTATCTTCATTGACTTTCAACTCTCACAAGAATTGTTTTCCATCTGCTGTGCTAAAAAATAAAATAATGTCCAAGCAGCAATGTTCACAAAAACGACATTACATTATGAATGTTTTTATTGTGTTGAAAAGATATTTTTTCTGCGGGAATATTTTTCTATACGCGTCGTTTTCTCGCTCCATTTCTTATGCCAATGGGAACTCCATTAAGTATTGGTGTTCCCACATTTTTCCTCGTATTTACATACGTATTCAGATACATGTATGTAACAGCTTTTTATTTTTACGTAACTAACCTATTGTAGCTCCAATCATAATTATATTTTTATTTGAAGTCATGTCATGGTTATCTTAAAATCTAAAACTAAAACATGAATATGAATTCCTGAAGTCTTACGATTAGAAGTGTAAGTCGACGAGCTGAGTCGCCGCTGCCGGTGGGACAAAAAAACGAACAGTTTTGAAGATTTTTCGACGCCTGAGATCACTTGTCAACGATGTTTCTGTCTAGGTTTTTTAGCAGTGTGTTCTCTATCATTGTTTTCTCTTTTTCCACCCGATAATTTCTCGGAAATAAGAAAACCTTAAAGAAATCGTCCAACAAATTCACTCGCCTCCGCCGACAGACTAAAAAAGTTGAGTATTTTCAGTCACTACTGAAAGAAAAAAAAATAAAATCACACTAACACACCCCATGGAGTAAAATTTTGAAGGAAACGCACTGCTTAACGCGTTTTCGAGGTTGCAGCATGCGTTTCGCAACGTTTTTCAGTACAGGACGCGTTTCGCAGCATTCTCACTTGTACAGAATGCGTTTTGCCACCGTCATTTTTCGAAACGATCTGAAACGCTACTTTTCGAGGTAGCGTTTTGAAGCATTCCATAGTAAAATGCTGTCGAACGCATTTTAGTCGGTAGGCGGCGCATTTCAGAGGCGCAAATTGGGGAAAGTGTGAAACGCGTTTCTTTTTGAAACTCCTTTTTTGAATTGTTTTTACTTGGAATGATGCAAAATGCATCCGTTCTGCATACAGAATCTCGCAGGAGTTCATCTATACAAAGCATGCGAGTTAAGTAAAGTAAACGGTCTGACATTATTTTGGAAATGATATGAAATAGCATTTGAAAACGCTGCTGCTTGCACCATTTTTGTACGTGAAAATCATGACCCAGATTTTACGAAGGCAAGACTAAAATCGAAGTCTTCTAATTTTTTAGGTTGCTAGGCTGTTATCTAGACCTGATTCGAAGTCAGACTAATATAAAACATCAAAGTGTAACAAAAATATATTCTTCTTCCTTAAAAACTCATTTCGCTACGTTTTTGTTGAAAGAAAACGTGTTTCGTAAGGTTTAATTAAGGATCGTTTCAAATATTGAGCATTAGGAAAAGATTTAGTAAAGACTGATACTAATATAATTAGTATGGCAACTCGGTTTGGTTATTTGTGAACAAAAGAATTATCGTGTTATTTATAATTTGAATAATTATTAGTATGAGTTCATACTCCGACTAATTGATAGTGACTGGGGATACTGTGTACAATACTAGTAAATATGATTCTAATTTGTACGTTGTTGAAGTAAGAGTGACTTTTTAATAAGAGAGATTTGACTTACAAAAGAAAACTTCTTTCATTTACTGATGTAATTGGATAAAACGATGACGGATTTACATTTACAAAAATTTATTAAGGCAAGAAAATAAATAAAAGATTAAATTTTAAATTTTTTAAAAACATATATATATATAAGAAATTTAATTTTTTAGATATTAAACACAATTTAAATCGATTAAATTCGTTTCTATTGGGCATCTAAATTTAAATTTGAAATAGTTTAAATAAAAATATATCAAGAGAAGACCACACTCGTAATTGGACATAGGCACCAAAGAAATGATAATTTTTGATTCAGTGGAATAGAAACTGAAAATCTAATTTAGTAAGTTTACGCGAGACTCTAAATGACAGTAGAATAAACACTTATGTCATTAGATTATTTTAGTTGAACGGTTTGTATACATGTGTTATACTCGTATGTTCTCGTGTTCGAATCCATGTCTTGACTGCATCAAAATTCATGTAAGTTATAGTTCTAAAGATCAATGAAAAAATGTAAACGATTACATAAATTGTACCTGCAACTCAAGATCTATGAAGTCATTGACGGTTTTCAGTTTTTTTTCCATCCAGAATATACGACACCACAGTTTGAGAAACGCTGCGAAATTTTTCACAAAAACAATCGTTACACAGCGTTTGTTTCAGCAGATGTGAAACGCGTCAAACTGGCCAGCATTAACGCGTTTCCAGAACGCGTTTTTTTCGCAGAAATTTACGCCATGGGACCACCGATCTATGAATTGGTTTTCGCTTCTGCTTACGGAAGTGAAAATAATTTTTTTTCTGGGAATAAGAGTGTAAGAACAAGAATAACAATGTTTTTCCGAGAAAGACAGTGTAGGAACAAGAATAACAATTTTTTTTCCGGGAAAGACAGTGTAAGAACAAGAATAACAATTTTTTTCGTGGAAAGACAGTGTAAGAACAAGATAATTTTTTTCCGAGAAAGAGAATATACGGGCGAGAACAGCAAATTTTTTCTGAGAACAGAAAGAATAATCGAGAAAAGTTACTCTCATAACACTAATGATCGGGGAATGTAAACTTAGTCGCTAAAAATGATGAAAGTCTTTGGGAGCTACTAGCTGATATGATTCAGATTTTTTATGCAGTACTTCGTCACTTTTAACAAAAGAACCCCACTTTAAATCATGGCTGACCCAAGATTTGACATTTATCGACACAAAACTAAAAGTTTTCTCAAAAACAATTTCTAGGTCTGTTTCAATAAATGTTACTATTTGTTGCCGATAGCGACAAAAAATCTTGACGTCTGTACAAATTTTTTATGTACTGCACAAACCTATCAATTTGACGTAGTAGAAAACAATTATTTGAGCGTACCATAATCTATGGAATCTGAACCTAAGATATGCTTTAATCTACTCAAGCCGTGTGATTCCATCATCTACGAATAGACGCTATCTAAGCCTTCATTTATTCCATCCACGAGCCTCCCTAAGCCTTTAGCTGTCCAACCTAGAGTAGGCTCGAGCATACTCAGGACTTGTGACCCCTTCGTTCATGGTCATGTTACAAAAGTGACATGAACGATATAGTTAATAAATTATTGTTCACGTATGCCCATTTTGTTTAGTTACATATTAATGTCTAATTAAACTTCATTTTCTATTTTGTCGGTATATTTTGATAAACCACTGTGAAATGAGTAGTAAAATAAATTCCACATAATTATGTTTTTTTAAAAATATATATCATTTAGAGGAAATTTTGTCATCAGTAATTTAGTAGAAGAACATAATGAGTGATTAGACGAACGAAAACTTTAGTTTTCTTTGAGAGAAGACCACTAATTCATTTTCTGATTTCAATAAACATCTTCTGATTTTTCAGTAAAAATTCCCTGGTAAACTCCTGATTTTTCGCAAAAAACTCCTGGTTTTTGAAATTTGGATTTGGCAACCCTGCCGCCCACACTCACACCCACACCCATACTAGAGCTCGTCGGGTAGGATCCGGATCCGTACCCGATCCGGACCCGCTCGGGTCCGGGCCGAGGGGGAAACAACTAAGACTTCGCTTTTGAAGTCCGATGAAGTCCTGAAGTCTCACGAAGTTGTCTGAAGTCTTTCTGAAGTCTCACGAAGTTGCCTGAGGTCTTCTGAAGTCTCTTGAGTTTTATGAAGTCTAATGAAGTCTCCTGAAGTCTCTTGAAGTCTTTTGAAGTCTTTTGAAGTCTCATGAAGTTTTTTGAAGTCCTTTGAAGTCTTTTGAAGTCTTTTGAAGTCTTCTAAAGTCTTTTGAAAATTTGAAGTCTCTGTTGTTGAAGTCTGATGAAGTCTTTTGAAGTCTCTTGAAGTCTTGAAGTCCGCTGTTTCCCCCTCGGTCCGGGCCAGGATCCGGATTTAAAAATTTCGTTTTGGCTGGGTCCGGGTCGGGTTCCGTGTCTGAAAATTTTCCTGTGACCGGGTCCGAGTCGGGTCCAGCTCTGAAGAAAGCTTTGATGCATACAATGTATTGTGAATTTTTTCAAAATTTTGTTCGTTTTATGAACCCGACGGGATCTAACCCGCAACCACACTCACATCCACCCACATCCACACTCACGCACCCACGCACCCACGCACCCACACCGCATACCCACATACCCCACACCCACCCCACCCACCCTGAACTCTTTTGAGCGGATTATATGATATACGTGAAATGAATTAAAGCTCTTATCATAGATAAAAACAACATGTTGAATTTGATTTGTTGAGTTACCAAGCTATTCTTGCTTATTTACCAAATAGCGAACATGGCACGAAATAATGCAGAAAATAATCACGAAGAAATGCTGCGAACTACTATTCAATTTGATACTCATATTTGCAGTCTGGTACAACGTAATGTTAATGAGTTTTTCAAGCTACGTGAAGAACTTCTTACTAATACAAACATACGACGTTTGGCAGGATTCGATGATGTTCTAGCATCTTTAATCGATGGGCCACGTATTAAACAACTGAATTCACGTATTAGTTCGGATAAAATTCACATAGCACTTTGTGGTGAAAATTCAAGTGGTAAAACAGCATTTTTACATACATTTTTGGGTATCAGTAAAATTCTACCGTCTGGTGATGGCCCTGTTACAGCGCGAATTACGAAACTGACGTATGCTCCGGGTGAACAAGCATGCATCTGTATTCGAAAAGCATTACGAGATCAAACACTTGCCGAAGACAAAGTGGATCTGTCGGCTTTTTTTATTAGCGAAAAGCCTCAATGGATTAATGTCGGACGTGCTCTCTCAAAGCATGTTAAACGACCAGAAGACATTGATTCAGCTTCACATGAATTTGCCGAATGGGCTCGATGTCTTGTGGAAATTCATATACCATCACAAACGTTAGCTTTGGGAATCGATGTATACGACACACCTGGTTTTCTTTCCGACGATGCTCCGGTTCTCAAGGAAATTTTACACGAATTAGTCGAACTGATTCATCCTACAATTGTCTTCCTGTACGGCAATCCATCTACGGATGATGCTACGAAAAGTTGTTTTTTAGCGATGAAAACTGCTTTGCAAGACTTAGATAGCACTAATATTTTCTTTCTGAATTCAAAAGCAGATATAAACAAAATGCCGAAATTCAAGCATGGTATGAACATCGACGAATTTCGTGCTATATTAGCAGATGAACGAGCACAACGCTATGATTTATTGTTGCGTGCTCCTTTTCTTTCTAATGATAGGTTAGAAGGTTTACCTGCATCGATTGACGAATGCCATTGTTTTGATTTGTGCAGTGTTAACTCACAATCGATTAAACCATACGGTCCGTTGATGAATGAAACTACTGTTCGAAATATTATTCAATTTGTAGCCAACAATGATATAGCCATGGATACGCGTGCATGTAAAGTTATATTGCCTATAATCGATGCATTTTTCAGTCTGTTACTTTTAACAAGTCATCGTACATTAGAACACTTGGTCAAATTGCGTAATGATGCTATGAGCTGGGAAGAAAATTATTTTCAAGCGTATACAATGCACACAGAAACATGCTTGAGTGATCTTTTTTCGAACATTTTTCAACGATTTGATACACAAGAACAGTGTATCATAGAAGCATTATCAAATACATGCATAAATTCAGATAATTTCCAGCCTACATTACTAACGGCTGTACGCTTTCAAATAATAAAGCCAGCCATTCGAGATACGCTTCGAACATTCATGAATTATGTACTCGAGCATATAATAGGAAATAGTGATTTCACGCAGAATGCAGTCTTCAACAAAATCCTGATTGGAGCATTAGGTACTCAAGAAATTAGTGATTTTGTAGCACTATTACTTGGTGAATTCAAGATGAAAACAACTATTAGTGCTAGTATCTTATACATGGTGAACACAATATCGATACCAATTGTGCAATGTGCTCGGAATCTGGAAAATTTAGATTTCTGCGATGAGATTACAAGTGATACATTATTAGCTCACACAAAAGAACCACATAGCAATCGAAACGAGATAGCCAAACAGCAAATAGGCGGTATTGTTCATAAATATTTATTGATCATGCAGAAGGTTATCAAAGAGCAACAAAATAAAATGCAACAAGCAGTAAGATTATGGGCAGATCAGCAAAAGGCGACACTAAGATCGCTCATTGACTATCACTATGAAAGAGTACTCCCTCAACTCGATTCTCACCAAGAAATCCTCAATCATTTAGAACAATATGCTCCGCGTCTTATTATTATCGAATGTAGACTTTGTGCAACCGAGGATATGGCAAAATTCAATGGTAGTAAACCGGAGATTTGCAGTGGCAATGTTAAATCGACTACCTTCAGTATATTTACGGGCAACTGGGGAGATGAAAAAAATTTAGTTGTGAAAAAACTTAGTCAACCTTTAACTAATCAGCCGATGGCAGCTTATTATGAAGCACACTATCATAGGCAACTGGCCAAATTATGTCATCCAAATATTATTAATCTTCGTTATTTTTACGAGCACTATCTCGAGGATGGAACGTCCGAATTATGGATGATCTTTCCACCATTGACGCAAAGTTTGGCACAATTTTTACCACGGTGTTCAACAACACTTTCGATTAAAACGGTTCTCCAATGGATGAATGATATTGCTGATGTACTAATAACTTTACACGAGAATGCACTTGTTCATCGAAACGTCGTATTAAGTAATATCATTCTTACTGAAGAGAGTCGAGCTCTATTAATTGACTTGGGCGATTGGTACGAAGATTGTGATTTCAGTTTGCGTCATAATCTATCATTAACTTCCAACCGAATGAACGATGACATGAGAGGATTTGGCGTAATCGGACAAACTCTAAGTTATTACATCGAACAAGATGGGAATGCACCAGCAATCATCGATGAGTTTAATGAACTGATGCTAACTTGTTCGAGAGCTACTTATGAAAGACCTGTGGCGGCTGAATTCGTTCAACATAAATTAAAGTTTATGTTGGACATGTTGTGATCTCATAATTTTCTTTTCTTTTTCTACTTGTAGATGACTACGAATAATGATGAACAATTGAAAACAGCGCTCGTCTGTGCGCATCGACTCAAGACAACTGTTTGTGGTACAGCGAAAGAATTCAAACATATACGAAGGAAACTACTAGAAAATCTACAAGTTATAAAATCTACCAATGTAAGAATGTGTTCTTTTATTTTTCATGAAATATATGGAGTATAGTTGTGGCTTCTAATATAATTTAGGAAAATTTTTTCCCAACTCCAGAAAGTAGCATCTATCAGAATGGATTGATTAACGATTTCATAGTATAAATATCGAAAACTTATGAGCTAATAATAGATTTTTGAGTCGACTTCTCTATCGAGGAAACTGCCAAATGTCGACAGGGAAAGAAAATAATACATGAAGAAACAAGTCGAATTAATAAGATAGAGTCTATAATTTTCTAACATTTGAAGAAGAATCAATGCATTACATTTTTTCTATTACTGTTAATCCTAAGAGTGAACAAAAGATTTTTCTTCAACTATAACAATTAAACACAAAGCTCACATACAATAGAAACTGTTCTATGATGTTAGCAGGTTTTTCAGCAAAATATTCATGCCGTTTCCATTAATTTTATTAACAACGATGTTAGGCTTCTAGAAATTTCGTTTTTGTCAAATATTGTGATTCTTATAGTTGTGTTAGTATAAAATTTTGATTGGCAATCGAATAGAATCTTGCCTGTTTAGGTTAAGGAGAGCTCTCCACGTATATTATCAACAATAGCTATGGATAGTTGTTTTGATGATGATGACCGCATCGAAGATCACTTCCAGCAAGTGTCTGACATAGTGCTAGACGAACATAGTGCTCTGAGTCAACCCTCCCTCGTCCTATTTGGACCCAATTCGTGCGGAAAAACATCATTGATTCAGCGGTTTGCCGGGATAGGCAACATCCTTCCGTCGGGCATTGGACCTGTAACCGCACGTATTGTTCAACTCACTTATGCACCAGCTGAACAAGCATTCTTTCGCGTTTACGAAACAATTGAGAAAGCATCAGTCCAATGCGAAGGTGATTTATCACATTTATTTGAAAATCAATTACAACCCGATTGGGCAGGTGTCACCGATGTTATACAACCTCATGTGAAACGGCCTAGTTATATTGATGAAAAGTCGCCCGAATTTAATGAATGGGCCAAGTGTTTTGTTGAAATTTCCTTACCATCGAAAGTCCTCGCATTAGGTATTGACATCTACGATACGCCCGGTTTCCTTTCGGATAACCGTGAGCAAGTTTTAACTGATAATTTGCATAAGCTCGTGAAACGTATTAAACCAACCTTGGTCTTCCTTTACGAAAATGCTACAATTAGTGATACCGATAAAAATTGTTTTCTGGCCATGAAAAATGCCCTGGGTTCAATGGAACGTGTATCGGTATTTTTCTTGAACACTAAAGCAGATTGCATATCGATTGCTAATGATTATTACCTTGATGATGATCCAGAAAACGTAACACCCGATCTCTTCTACGATAAGCTACGCGAAAAACGGCAACATTGCTATGATCTCCTTCTTCGACGACGCGAAATGGCTAATGAAGTTCTTGGTGGCTTGCCTAAGTTGGTTGATGAGTGTTCATGTTTTGATATTTGCACAGTCCCAGGCGATTTGGATTCATGGGAGGAGTATTCAAATTTGATTAATACATCCAGCTTTCAACGTCTAGTCGAATACGCCGTAAAAGCCTATTCTGCGCCAACACTAACATTAGCACGTGATATACTTTCTACTATCGATGATTATTTCGATATGACTGTTTCAACATCCGTTCGTCTACCAAATCAATGGAAGGCTCTTCGCGATGAAGCCATCGAATGGGGTCGCAAGTTTTTTGATGAATACAAGGAAATATTACCTACACTGACTAATGATTTAACCACAAACATTTTAGATTTACTTGAAAGATCAAAACAAGAAATCGTTAAGCAAGCCGCATTAATGATACGTAATGATGATCCTATTGATAGACTTCTACAAGACAATCGTAAAACAATCATAGACTATGTTAGAATAGCTGTTCAAGAGCAAGTAATTAAGGTAGCGGCGAATGATGTAATAATTAAAAGACGAGATGAAGTGAAGAACTTGATCGCTGGCCATTTTCAACGACAGCGTGGCTTACGAAAAAATGAGTTGCTTACTATTGCTCAACGACACGTACTAAGTGAGATTTCTGCTGACGTACTACAACATACTACTTTGTTCAATATTTTCCTTGATAATATGATTAAATTACCTATGAGAGTAATACGTTTCGTGCGCAGCTTACCCACACGTCTGAGTGCCTATCAAGATCTCTATAATCGATATATTCATAACAAAATAACGCGCGGTGAAAATGATGTATATGAACTTCTTGCTGCTATGGATGAGTATGCCACTTTGTCGAATGAAACCAATCGTCGTGCATTTGCAGATTATTGTTTGAAGAAAACCGCCGATGAACTTGGAAAACAAAAAGAAACATTCGGACGTAATTTGATTGCATGGATAGTTGAACAAAACAAAGCATTTGACAAGAATGTTATATCAAACTATAGCTATATTACAGAACATCTTTCTGATCACCAAACACTCCACGATCTTATTTCTCAATTTTCTGGTCCTTTAGCGAAAGTCGAATGTCAATTATGGGCTGCTATTGAACTAGTCGAACGAAATGGTAATTGTCCAATCCTAGACGAGCAAATAGACAGCGGCGGTTTCTATAGTGTACATGCGGCTCATTGGAGCGCAGAAAATAATCTAGCTGTGAAAAAATTACTTAATCCATCAGCCGAAAACGAACAGATGGCCGCTCTAGAAGCACACCACCATCGAGTAGTTACTCGTTGGTGTTCAGACTTTATCGTTCCATTTCTCCATTTATATGAGAACAATATCAACGATAACCAAAGAGAACTCTGGATCATAATGCCAAGATATAGTATGTCGTTGCGAACATATTTGATGCGAAATATTCATACAATATCATTTGTCAAAGCCCTTTGTTTCGCACTGACCATTGCTAAAGCACTTAATGAATTTCATCGACTTGAACTTGTTCATCGAGATCTTAAATCTAGCAACATTATGCTTGATCATAATTACCAATGTTATATTACCGACTTTGGTACTAGCCGATTTGGATTATCTAATCAAACGTTTTTAGGCACAGCTCCGCTACCGCCAGAAATGATTGCTGCACATCTGCAAACCCCTAGTAAATTTACCATGTATGATGGAACTGCAGTCGATGTCTTCTCTTTTGGCCTTCTTCTATATGAAATATTACCCAAAACTCCTTATGGACAGCTAGATATTAATGCACTCTTGCATATAGAGGAAATTCTTTTCCCAACGCCAGAATTAGATCCAGTCATAAAAGCTTATAAAATTCTCATTCAGACATGTCTTAATCGAGAACCTGAAAAACGACCGACTGCAAATAACTTAGTCTCGGAACTAACACATATTCAACATATGAGTGAACTGAAATTATGTATGGCATGCGACGAACGAGCTCGAGCATTACGTTTCGTACCTTGTGGACATAAAGTTATGTGCACTCAATGTTGGGAGACATGGTGTAGAACATCGAATGGTAATGCTTGCTGCATTCTCTGCCAAGCAATTGTCACCAATTACAATCACGATGACAGCAATGCCACGTTCTACCTGCAGTAACAGGAGAAGATACCTCTTGAAAACTGCTCCCCATATGATGATTGTTCGAGTCATCCGTATTGCTTCATTAAGAAAACCAGAAATCTATCCCAAAAGATCTTGCATGAAGATAGTCTCTGAATTCAACCATTTCTTATGATAATTATTTTATGTATCATTTATTTTAAAGCTTGAAAAGAAAAGAAAGAAACAGAGAAAGTTGCCCATGCAAATATGAACTACACAATGATACTACCGTACCATGGTCATTAGTTAGTTAGTGTGTATTTCAAATGAAGTTCTTTTTCTCTTTCTGCAAACTAGTTCCTTCTAAGGTATCCTTAAAGCACATGATTACAATTGTCCAACGCATAGATCAAAGATAACAGCACCTAGGTTCAAGAATCTCCGACATGTTACCGTTGAAAAGACGCTAATAGAAATGATTTTACCGCAGCATATAACATTATTGTTTAAATTCGATAGAAAGAAACAGAAAATTTCTATTTTCCAATTTTATTTTATTTTATTATATATCGACGTTTGGAAGAATAAATGGTTAACCTGAATTTGATCGAAAAGTTAAAATGTCGAAAGTAAAAATGTCGAAAAAAAAAACTTAAAAATGTCGAAAATAAAAATGTCGAACAACAAAAATGTCGAATAG